GAAGATGAAGATGCCCGGTATGCAATGTATCAAAATAGGAGAATTGAAATCAAAAAGTGGGCAGGAAAAAATGCACGCTTGGAGATTTCAAGGCAATGTCTATCAAATAGGCGTGACCGAATATATATCGGCAAGACCTGTCGATTAATGGAGTATAGAAGAGCCATCAGGTACCGTAGCGTAGATCATTCCTTAGAGAATGGTCATCAGCGATGTAACGGTTGTCGATCGACATCGGGGTAGGGTGAAGCTGTTAGTTGCAGAATCTCTGAACATCACTGCCAGAAGAAATAGAACTTGCAACGACTGCCTTGGCTCGACGGACATTTCTGCGTTGTCGTTCATTAGCTCCCGGTCTAGCGTCCAGCCAGTCAGGTTAAGCACCAACTGATCCAGCAGTTTGTGTTTCTTTCTTGTTCGCTACTTGATGATGATCGATGATACATCGGTCGAAACATTGGGACTAAAAAACGTACTTTCCAAACGTGAAATCATAACACCCGTTCAAGTCATCAACAGCACGGTATCGGTATGAGCCTTTTAATATTAACTGTTCATGTCATTGCTAGGTATAATATCATTGTCCCGTCATTCAAACCTGGTATGGTCGTTGAATTGGTCCAGGTATTGGGACGGTGTAACGACCCAGAGGGTCTTCTGCCTGTATTCCACGACAAAATAGTGGTACCTTCTGTCCAAGCAACACGACGCAAATCTCAGGCTGTACACTTCCTGACTTCCAATAGCTGAAAACTGAACCGGTGATATTTAAACGGTTACATCATTCGGTGAATACTTGAAAGACAGCGCACCGTCTCCTTGCTGGCAGTAAAACGGAAGACTGACCAGATCACCGTATCCAAGGTCTCCCATTGTCTGTGGCGAAAGCATGGCAAAGCCACCGTCTAGATGCAGTGCATTATAAATGGCATCACCAATCACAACTATCTTGTAGAACCTACCTGGTGTCCCCTTTGTCTTCGTCGCTTGTTGCCACATAATCGGGTTGACTTTCTCTGTGATAATGTCCCAGTCGAAATTATCACCGCGAACATTGAACCACGCACACCGGCCATCGAAGATGCAATCAGCCTCGCTGCTGGTCCGTCCAAACACAGGAGGAGTCGGCAGGAAGCCAATCGGGTTCTTATTAAACGATCCAATTTCTAGCAGAACAATAAACATATTGTTAATAAGCACCGATAAGCACCTTCAATCATTAGAACCCGCATAATGTGCAGAATCGAATTTCCCTCAGAAATAAGACGACGTTAATATTTTCTCATAAACTGAAAAAAATGCACCAGATGGCAGTGAACTACGAAAACAGTAGCCTCATTTAAAATTGCATGACGCTTTATCTAGGTTTGAATAAACATCAAATCTAACAGCAGAAGGCACCGGCCAAATTTTCATCTTGTCTTCAAGTGCTCAACGCATATATGTAAAGAGAAGTTATATCGGAGCATGTTGCATTAATGCTGCATTTCGAGGCTCTACACATTAGCTTGTGGTATGATAACAATGTAGAGCAATTTAGGCAGAGCATTGGCGCTTAGCAAACAGTGCATGGGTCCTGTTGGTCCATTGGCTGAACCATTTTACCGTTTTCATGTCTGTATCTATCTTCCAATCATGCTGTAGATTGCGGCCGCTGGAAAGCAAACGGTATTCGTTTGCTTAAACCTCTTCCTCCGTTTTTCTAGCTCACTTCCTTAGAATGGGTCAGTTGTTCGAGTAAAATGCATTCATCTGTTTTTGCATATGCGTCAGATCCTCGCTGACTCACTGCAGTTTCACATCGTTCATCACGGCATCAGGTCAGCTGTTCTTTGGTGTTCTACTCATTTTGTCATTTAGCACTATCAGGGCTTGAAGGTCGGTTTCGGCGAAATCGTAGGATCTGATTTTCAGCGAAGCCTGCTTTCGTATGCTTCTTTTTCTTGTCTTGTTCCGTCGCAAATTACACCTGGTGACGTACAAGCATTACACCAGCATCGAGTAGCAGTGCGCACAATGTTCAGTCCTTTCGATGTCACGTCAGTTCGATTCCAATGAGACCTTCCAATCATTATCGAGGTACTGCAGTGGCCAGTGGCCGGCTGCCATCAGACACAACGTTCAGCGTTCGCTTCATGAGGTTGCTATCGTAAATTGGCTGGCAACCGCCCCACCGAATTAAGCATTTCGTTTGCTGCCAATCAGTCACTTTAGTTGGATATTCAAATGTTCCTCCTGATGCAACAGCGCTTGACATCAGATCGCATTACTTCATTTCTACTACCATCTCCAGGCCATGGAGGAAGACGCTCAGAGTGCGAACCCTGCGTATCCGCAGACTTGAGGTATTGAAAACATCTTGGTTTATCGTTGCAAATGCCAACGCACAGATCCTCTTGACTTAGTAGGCTCTTTGTC